GTCATAAGTGCTTCTTTATGAAAGCAAGACAAAATGAACTTCATGTGTTGATCTAAAATTGCTATAAGCTTTGAGTTACTGAGATTAAATATTGATCAATGTACAAAGAATTGTCCATTGTTAAGTAAAGAGACTATAGTAATAAAGGAGAACAATCACTAATAAATATTGTAAAACAAGAAATATGATTTTATTTATTTTAATCTTGTGCTTCATAGACAACATTTCCACCATATTATTGTTTATAATATGGCTTTGGAATTCATCCTAAAAGAAAGAATTATCTAACTGTATAAACTTCCATATGTTAGTTTGCAAATTATGGGGTCTAGAACATATTTGAACTTATCTTTGAACTCTTTCAAGATAGTATGTTGACATCCTATTGCACAGTAATCCAGCTGAACTTGTATAATGTTTAATAATTTTTCTGTATAATGATTTCTGTATATTATTAAAAACAATTCCCATATTTCTTAAATCCCTGAAACACTTTGATTTTTATAATAGAAAAAGTGTTTCAGATTCTGTGTTTGAATTATTGGGATTATTTATTCCAAAATAATTCCTGTACATTGGATTACTTAGTACATAAAAAGTTACAAGATAATCTTACTTAATGACTTTATATTCAAATTTCATTATTTTGTGTAATGATATTTCTAAATATATATTTAAATATTTATGTAGAAACATCATTACACAAAGCAATACAATTTGAATAGAAAGGCATTAACATCTGATATTTTCAAATATAGTTAAAACTTCAATTTAGTAGCCATTTATTTGCCTCTGAAATTGATATTAAATCATTTGTGGACTAAACAGAAGAACCTCAAACAATAAGTATATATCTATAGTAATGAGGACTATAAACAAATTGTGTTTGAAGGTCACACGATTTAGTGATAATGTTATTTGTAATGCAAAAATGTGCATCCAGTAATTCATAGATACCAAAAAAGTTCCCTATTTAATATTTATGACAGAGATTTATCACAAGTATTTATTGGCACTTTACAAGGATGGTACTATTTAGGAGGATGCTATATTGAGGTTTGACTGTACATATATACTCATTGACAAAAAATACATACCAAATGTTAGGCATTGGAATTAAATGAAACTATTTGTTTGAATATATTGACTATGATAATAAGTGATTACAATATTATTACAAAGGCACAATTTCTCAAACAACTATACAAATTAAACAAACCTTTAATACTTTGTATGACCTCCTCTTGCATGGAAATATGCAGTAATATGGTTGGATATAAAGGTATGCAAGCACTGTATACTATCCTGTGACATATTTGACCACATATGATGCAACTGCCAGTCCAGATACCTAGCTAGCCAAAACTGGCATCCCATCTGGTTCTAAATGCTTGATAAGTGACAAATCTGGAGACCAGACAGGCCAAAGAAATATGATAATATGACAGAGTTTCCTGGAAAACCCTAGCTGTGTGTAGCCATGCATTATTCTGTTAAAAATTGGCTGTTTTCAGCCTGCAATAAAAGGCAACATGAAGGCACAGGATTTCCTGAACATACTGCGTGCTGTCAATATCTCTTGTACCACTACTAGAGATGACTGGCTATGATATGAGATGGCTTAAACCACCAATGGAGGCAGTAGGCCACTCATCAGTAAAAAACAGGTTTGTAGTGCTTACCATCAGTGGTCCTTCACATTCTAACATAGTGGTCATCCATTCCCAAACAGACCCAGCATTCATCAATAAAGATGATACACTACCAGTTCACGCTTCTCTTACTACACCATTGCAAAGCTGACAATGTTTGGTTGCTATTGACAGTCATCATGCATGCAAATTTTCCTTTCAACTGTACAGAAAGACAGTGTTCTGGTAGCAAAGTTTCCACATTTCTGTGATAGTGAATAAAGGTGTCATTGTAGTTGTTTATGCTTGTCTCATGATCACCCAATCATCTCCCTTGTTGATGTGTTTGAAGTGTCTAGAGCCTGCCCGCTATGTATGTTTTCCCTCATCTAATCATTGCTCCACAGTCAGCTTACCTTGTCTTCTAAGCTGTTCCGTCAATTTGGCCATCTTCCTTCCCTCAGCACCATAACGTAACCTTTCTAAAGCTCTGCAAGCTGTATGTAATGTCTTTGACTGCATCACACAAGCATGTCTGTCATTCAAAACCCTTCAAACAATAGGAACTTTTACACTGAAATTCTGAACACAGCAAGCCTCTGAGAACTCTGGGGTAACAAATCTAATGCACTCTAATGGCATTACCTGGTGTATAATCAGGCCACAACTGTAATTATTTAAATAGCTATCCAAGACATAACTGCAAAGTTTTATGGTAATCAGACAATTCTCAGTTTTGTAAAGACACGCTATCTTTGCCACCGGCATCACTACCCACATACGATCAATCCCTAGGCTTTTCCTGACATGTAATTAACTGTTTGCCCCTGAAAGTCAGCTTCTTACACACTCACAAGCAGTTCACATGAACTTTCTAACAATAATTTACAATAATATAGACAAACACTTTCTAACATGAGTTTTGGACCACCCAGTATCTTTAGATATAACTTCTCTTTTCTGTAGATAAATAAATTTGATTATAAATATTGTTAAAAATTTTCCCAAAATAGAAGATTTGTATGTGATTTTACCTAATATCTCATACAGAGTAGAGATTAGAAATCCACAAAATGCATTTCAAATAGTAGCTGAAGATATTTTATACATTCGAAACATCTGTGAATCTTGTAACATCCATAATTTATCTTATCAGTATTATATTATCTTGGAAAATGTATCAAATTCAATAAACAAAATGCAAATTACTATGTAATATAAAGATATGACTTATCTAATATTTGACAAAGAAAAGCAAATGATGCTAAAAAGTTCATTTCTAATCAGTTAGAAAATCAAATAAAAATGCTAAATTCTTTTTATCTTATTAACTAATAATGATATTAATACTTAAACTTAATACCAAATAGCAATTTCATTCCACTTCTATTTTATTTCAAAAATCATTATTATTTTTAAAAATATTTTTGGATAATTTTTATCTTAAAATTATTTTATATAATATTAAAATGAACTAAAAATGTGATTATGAGAATTTTATAAAGATTAAAGATGTTTTAAGAGAAAGCTGAAATAGTAAAAAACAATATAAAGGGTCCATATATAATACATTGTACCAATATGTCATTTTTTACACACATCAATGTTTTATTACAGGTGGTTATATATTCAATGTCTATACATTTAATACATTAATCGCCTAATTTAATATATTTGTTTCTATTCAAATAATATAGGTGATAATATATGTATATTTTCCTCATATCTTCTCTTTCTCCTTCAGTATTTAAATGAGTATAACATATAATAAAGACACCATATATTAGCTTCAATCCTTAATTAGAAGAATTAAGCTTAGCTATGGGGCAGATAGAAAGTCCAGTTTCCAGTTATAGTTCATACAACAAAAGATCTTTTCAGAGTTAGTACGTTTTTATGAAAATTTAAAGTTTTATGAAACATTAATTTATTAAATTCTTTTAATTAAAAGTACTTTTTACTGTAGTAAAATCTTTTTAATCAAAATCAGAAAAGTTTGAATTATCTATTTTTAAAAATTAAACTAGTTTTTGCAAATGTTTGACAGTATTCTTTAGTGAGATATCACATTTTCTTTTCTACCTTAATTTGATTTTTCAGCTAAATATACACTTGTGTACATTCCGTTGTTAAATATCATAAAAATATAGATAAACAACACTGCTATCTAGATAAAAAGTCACTAAAACTTAAGAAAATGTTAAAGTTTTGTCGTGCACTAGTTTATAGAGTAAATACTAAAATGCATACATGTTATAAAGAGGTTAATTGGATACTATTTTCTGTTTTCAAGTTTCATTTTCAAAATATAAGATATAAATTTGAATAATTTGAAACTAACATGCTAAGTAAAGTTAATTCAAATTTAACAGTAATTTACACATAAATATCAAGAATAATAGTAAATTTGATTATTCAATAATCTGGATTAATTGGATTCAGTTATATTATGCAGAAATGTAACTATGGGGAATGAGGGTGTGTACATGCCTCAGGAACCAACTTTGAGAGCTCCAAAATGAGTCTGCAGAATTAAAAGCAAGTAGAATTTTTTTGTAATTAATGTTTAATCAGAGGCATCAGGTATGAGATTTGTTCCAGATGCCAAAACTGTTTGGTACAGCCCTGGTATTATGTAAATGTGATCATCAAAGTACTTCCAACAGCTTAAAGTGAATAGAGATTCCAGGCATGAGCAATACAGTAGAGTCTCACAAACTCAACTTAATGTGGGCTGAGGTTACAAATTATTGAAAATGACGAGTTTTATGGAATAGCAATGATAGTAGTCTAAATAGCTTAATTTTCATAACGGTGTTATATGTGAAAATTCATATATGTATTAACTATGTACCATTACTGACTATTTTTATTTGTAGCTAAATTAAAAAAAAACAACATTGGCTATTTAGTAGCTACTTTCATGTTAGTGACATTTGCATCATGTAGTTTTTCAGTGACACCTTAGAAAACGAGTTATATTCTTTGTTAACATGTGGAATTCACTGGCAACATTATTATAAAGTGTTGCCAGCAAAGAATGATAACTTATTTGATCCTAGTGTTAAATTATAGCAGTAAAAATTACATTACATGTATTTATTTATTTATTTTTTTGAATCAGGAGTTTTACAGAATTCTAAGTTATCAAGAGTAGAGTTTCTGGGACTCTACTGTATACTCAACAATAATAATGCATTTTCATTATTTACAAAAATTTTTCTGTCAAAATGTAAAAACCATTTAAGAAAATTTTAATTTATAATTCTTGTAATTAATAATGCTATAAATTAGAATAACTGTCTGATTAATATGTAAAATATTAAATCTTTTTTGCACGCTAGTAAAGTTATATAATATCTTGATAACAAACATCACTTCTCTTTTTATTTTATTTTTAATAAAATTTAATAAAAACAATTGAAAATGTAACATGATTTTATTATGAAATAACAGAAAACAAATGTATGACAGTTGTCATCAACTTTTCTAATTATGTGATGTCCTATTTTTCACAATCTTCTGGGATAATAAGGTAATACTGACTGAAAAGTATTTTCCTTTTAATTAATTATTTTAAATTTCAATAGAAGTAGTTGATTAACTTATTCAAATTTCACTCATTATAAAGGAAAGCTATCCGGTAGAAATTATCACACTTTTTGTAAATAACACAATAAACACTTAAATAAACAAAAAAAAAAAATTGAAATTTGTTTTTAAATTAAATGATTAAATCACATAAAACAAATTCCATTCATGCAATTATATTAATTACAGTATATCTTCTGTCTATGCCAGATACCGTAATGTCAGATTTGTGACTAAATAGCCAATTCCTTGGTATTGTACAAGGAAAATTGAAAAAGATAAAATGGCATCAATGTCACAAAAGTCAATCAGAATTATAAAATTTGATTTACAAACCACTGGGATCAGGATGGGGGCAACAAGATGGTCCGATTAAACAGAATTCCTTTTTACTACAAAGCTCAGATTACCTGACAAATTCAGCATTTTTTAATAATTAATGAATATTTAGCAATTGATCTTGAAGAAAGAAACCTATGAAAGTTACAAAGTCTTCTCGTGTTAATATCTTGTTTAATTGAAACAATTTTTTAATTCAATTTCTTCCTGTAAAATATATTTAAAAGGAAAAAAAACAATCATTTTGTAAATTAATTTATAATAAATAATATATATATATTGGCTTGAGGAATGATGAGTTTTCAATTGTTTAATATAATTGCATTGTAGTTGAGGCTATTTGCCATAAGAACTTGAGCATGTATTATTAAGTTCTGACATTTTTGTCACTCATCATTCTAAAAAACATAAAACAATTAAATAATTATTATTAAAAAAAAAAAATTAATTTTAAAGTTTAACTCATAGGAATAATATAGAAAAATGGTCCAAATGATTTTTCAAGAATCTATATAGGCTCTGTCTAAAAAGATGATGATGTATATCAATTTTCTTTCTTGACTTTTGCATTGTCAACATGTAAAATTCTTGTTATTAACCACAATATTTAAGTACAAGATATGAAACAATTCTAGTCCACTAAGTGATACTTGTGTGGATATTTCATTCTGTCAAAAAATGGACTATCATAACTGGAATATTCAGTCTGATAAAACAGTGCTAAAGGCGGGCACGATAACATGGGTGCCAGATGTTTTTAGGGCAACTGGAAGGGTGGACAGATGGCACCAGCATTTATGCAAGCTGTGGAACATAGAAATCAGGCACTCCCGTGGTATTGAGCTGTAGTTGTTCTTGCACTCCGCAGGCACAGATGGGACTATGTGCATATTGGCAAGATCAGCCTTACCCTGCAAATACTTCTCTCCAGTTTGAAACACACTACCCTTGAGCACCAGAGTTTATTGGCACACTAACCATGATCCTCCCAAACTGATTGAATGAATGCTGGCCATAAAAGTACTGTAAAATTTAACGATTTTTTTGTAGGCATGATCAATATTACAAAGAAGTTCAACAGTATTTTAATATAGTTTTGGGCAGTATTTTTCGATTTGAACTTCCTACTGATTGTATTCTCTTGATGTTAATGACTCATCTGACAATTTCTGATTAATTTTGGAAACAGCAGACACTTTTGTCATTACAGGGACATTCTTGGACGAGGAGACACTTTGCATTTTGATTCAGGAATCCAGTGATCCAAATATTTCTATATTAGTTATCACTAAAAACAAAAACAATCTCGTGCTTTATGGCAGGGGTACCATCCATTGAGAGATCACTTCTTGCTATACATTCTCTGAACTGTACATGATTTAACTGATGCTCAATGGACCTGTTCACACACCACGGATGAAAAATGGGAAAATTTTCCCGAAACCACCGTGATATGACTTGGCACATAGAATTTCTCATGCCATTATTCAAATGCTTATTGTGGAAAACACCACTTGTACTTAAAAGTTTCTGTCATAGCTGTGTATCTCCTAAATCACACAGTTTATGACTGATTATATATTCTAAGAGTCCACGATAAAGAAAATCATACTGTGCCTGAATAAAAAAAAAATAAAAGAAAAACATTTTACAATACAGATTGAAAAGAATAATGTTTTTAATTAATAGACTTACCAATGTTTGCAACATACAACAACGCTGTGAACGAGTGTAACGAGCAGCTTGGAAAACATCAACTCTTTCTTCTGCTTTAAGTTGTTGAATTAATACAGTTAATGTTACAAAAACACTGCTTCGGTCTCCACCTCCACTGTTAATAAATTTTACATACTCATATAAGCAAAAATATCAAATTTATTAAACAGATAATTCTTTTATATATTAAATAATGATAAATATAATATATTCTTTTATGGAAGATCCACACCTTTTTTTTATGACAATTATTTTCTTTTAGTTTATTGATAGAATCTTATTTGGCTTTCATGAAATTTAGAAGAATTTATTACACATATTCAGTTCTAGAGAGATAATGGAATATCACACAGATATAATTATAGCATTCACCCTAACAAGATCAATAAAAAATATACAGGAGAAATTTAATTCTTAATAAATATACATTTATGCAAACTGAATTCCTATTTCAGAATTTTCAGTTTATCCATTATGATACAATGAATAACGTGAAAAATTCTGAAAGAAGACTGTTTTTGTTCTTGATATTGCAGAAAAACTATATATATATTATGCAATTATTTGACTGATGTAAAATTCTAAAAAAATTGCAATAAATATATTAATTTTTAGAATTTAGAAAAATCAGAAGACAGATCAAATACTGTGAAACTTATTACTTATTAGTAAAAAATTGGTCTTATGTATAGATAAAAAATAGATTTGTAACTTAAACAATTTTCTTTAACTTATAAACTGGTATCTTAAAAACTATCTACAATAAACTCAAATTTTATTAAAATTACCAGTTAATAATCTATACTAATTTTTTTACCTGCAATGAACAGTTAGAGGTCCAGCACCTGGATTTTGTTCTTGACACTGCTGAGCTGCTTCAATCAATGACAAAAATCCTGTCACATCTTCTGGGACAGGATTTGTCCACCCACAAAATTGCATATGAGTAACTTTATGACTATCATCACTCTGAAATATAATAATTANAAAAAAATCTATTAATCAAACTGCTTTCAAAATCTATAAATTTGTTAAACTGTTTATAAAAAGAAAATCATCAAAGTTTAAAGTTATTATTAAACAAAACATTATTATTTAATTTTACTAACTTGCTTTTTAATGATTGTTTATCACAATCATTAAAATTGGCAGCTGAAATATATAAGATTTATGTATATAATAAATTCAAAATAAACCAAACAACTGAAATTTAGAATAAAATCATGCTATAATTTAATTACTAAAGAAATTAACATTAAATTTGTTTGTAACAACAAACATTTAAAGTAAATGTTTAATATATTACAAACATGTATTTGTAGAAAACTAATACTATAGTATTGCTTTTCTGTAAACATAATAAAATATACAAGGTCTGTTCAAAAAGTATCAGACCTTTTTTTTTCCGCGTAAACCAATGATGCGAGAGAGGCCTCCTTCGGTGGAGTTGTGGAGGGAACAGTCATGCACAGCCCTGAATTTTTTCCCGCCTGTAGGAAGCGTCAGTCGTTGGCAATCGGCGTATGAGTGAGGTCATGTAGTGCACTCTCGTCGGATTTCACTAAGCTGGAAAATGACGAACAACGTGAGCAGCGATATTAGTAGATAGGAACTGAATATTAAATTTATTAATTAAAATTTTTGATTTTTTTTTGATCAGTACAGATTTCTAGTAACAGAAGAAAATGATATCCTAGTGTATAAATGTGTAGTATAAAAGATGATTTCTATTGTCTAATATTGAAAGATTATCAAGTAGTTGCAAATAAACTAGTTTGTGATCAGTTTCCTAAAAACATTAATAATTAATTTATTAAAAATAATGAAATGTAAAGTTTTTGTGCCATAAATACACAGTTTTTTAAATTAAATATGAGATTTATAATATAATTTTGAAGACTTGACCAGTAAATGACCACAACAATTATTCACTGGAATTTAAGTTAATGCATCAAATCATGATCAAAATCAGGCAAGTGAATGGACTAGAGCAGTGGTTTCCAGCCTTTTTTCATTAGCGTATTTCATTAGCATTTCATATTTGTAAATGACCATATATGGCTTCCTACCAGTGATTGATCAGGTGGTAGTCATTCACTGAGTTTTTCTGTCCAGCAAATAACCTGAACAACAACTTCATCTCAACCCTTTAACACTCAACCACCATTCACTGTCCTAGTCACCTAAGATCACAATGGTCATTCACTGTTCTAGTCATCTAATTATTACTTAGTAAGAAATATTTTCAGTTTAAATATATCAACGATTTGATATATATTTTTCCTTAGTCTGTTTTAATCTTTTCTTATGATAAAAAAAAAAAATAAAACAATTACAGTAGAGCGTCAATTATCTGAAATGTCAATTATCCAAAAGAATTCCAGTCCGCAAATTTAAATTTTCGCCAGTGCTGTGGCGCTACAATCTTTGGCTATGTGTTGGGCTACTCAAATATTTTACATTTTTGATACTAAATTAACTTTTGAAGTAAAATTTTTTATTGTTTTTATATTTTCCAATATATTTATTTTGTTTGTACAAAATAAAAAAATAAATTTTAACGATACAATAGTCTTCGTTAGGCTTAACATCGAAGAAAATTCAACGCGAAGTGACATGCAACGGAGAAAGATTTCAACATGGGATAGGTTAATATATTTTTTCGTACATAATCGGTTATCCGAAATATCGATTTTCCGAACAACCCCAGTCCCCAATTGATTCGGATAATCAATGCTCTACTGTATTATAACTTTTAACCATGTTTTAATTCATTAGAACTGTAATTTTATATTTAAACATCAGAATCAGAAACTAAAAATTTATTAAATTTTTTTATGTTTTATTTAATTTTTTAATATATATATATGTTAAATATGCCTAAATAAAAACATTAGATAAATCAAGATGTTATATAACTATTTTTTCATGAAACATGAAACACTCCAGAAACACTGGTTCTGCAATGAAAAATAAATCAAATAATAAAAATATGACAATGAATTTCAATTGGTATATTCAGTCATTGGAAAAATTGATAATTTTTAATATTTAGCTCACATAATTTAGAATTAATGTTCAATTTAAAAAAAAAATAAAAAGTGTTTTAATTCCAAAAGATTTAATAAATACTCACCTTAATATTTCCAATGATAAATTCTCTCCGTATAAAATGTGTACTTTCTTCAATAGATATAGCTTTGACTTTTACATAATCATATTCTTTTTCTTCATTTAATTCCGGCCAATACTGTTGACATTTTGTCTAAAACATGAAATTTTTTATTTTACAAAATCAATCAATTATCATTAAGAAAATCACAGATATATTTGCATTACTATTGATATTCACTGACATAAATATCTTGAAAGGATATTTTAAATTATAATTATTTCCTTATATTTTATAAATATTACAACTTATATAAACTTTTTAATATTGTTGGTTTGCTTTGAATTTTTTACTTCAATTACTGTACTGTACTTATCACTTTCAACATAAACTATAATACATAATACATATGTATCTTAATATAATTGGTTTTAAAAGTAATGATAATACGTTAAAGATTTCTATTACATTTACTCTATAATTACAAAATATAAATTATATATATATATAAGTTTTTAATAATAATAATAATTTATATAGAAGTTATAAGTTATATTTTGTAACTTAGAAACAATCAAATTTATTTAGTTATAATTTAGGTACTTATAGAGTAAATGAAAAGTAAATTTTCCTCTATTAATACCTCTATAAAAAAATCAATTCAAAAATAAAAAAAAATCTATTAATCAAACTGCTTTCAAAATCTATAAATTTGTTAAACTGTTTATAAAAAGAAAATCATCAAAGTTTAAAGTTATTATTAAACAAAACNTTCCAAAAGATGCGTTCCAGCAGTGTTTCCAGCAATGGCAGGAACACTGGGAGAAGTGTATACATTACCAAGGAGACTACTTTGAAGGGGATTAGGATTTTGTACCTCAAGGTCAATAAATTTATTTTTGCCGACCAAAGGTCCGATACTTTTTGAACAGACCTTGTATATGCTCAAAAGACCTTGTATATGCTCAAAAGATTATTACTTTTCAACAGTTTTCATTTAAAAATAATGTCAATTGACAATAAAATTTTAAATTACATTATTACAGATTTCTACTCAAATTATTATTAAGTTATATTACATAATTTATACATTAAAATACCTTTACATGATATGTAAAAGAAAGTTCAATTTTTTAATAACAAAAGAACTTTATTTTAAATTAAGATATCTTATATATATATAAAACGTAATAATTAATAATTATATCATTAGCAGAAAAAATTCTAAATAATCACTTTTATTACTGTTGTTGTTAATATACATATTTTAAAAAAGAGAGTTTTGATATCACAACATATACAGAGAAGAACTCATTTAAGAAAGAAAAGAATATGAAATTGAAAGAATATGAAATTTTCATATTCTTTCAGAATTATCAGAGAAATTCTAATCGGTTATGAATAAATTTTGATGTTTCATAATAAAAATTTTTTGTAATCAATCAAAAACTGTCTAAAAATAACACTGAAGTGATTATTCAATACACTGTAATATTTTGCAAATTCAATTTATTTATAGAAATAAATCTAAGTATTTTGCACTTAAAGAAAGATGAAATCTACTTTTATATTTAATTAATTATAGAGCTACGTGTCTCTAGCAACAGTTAAATATAAATAAATAAATCATATTTCTATGAATTTTATAATGATTTCACAAACATTTACTACTTTATATATATGCAAGGTCTATTTAAAAAAGCTACCAAATTGTGAACTTATTTAAAAATATGAATATGAAAGACTTAGAAAGTAATTTTCAAAGTATATATTAATGTTTTTGGTTTATTAACTTAATAATAATTAGTAAAATAAAATTAATAACTATAATTGAATTTTAAAAGATTACACATAAACATGTTTACAAACAAAACTCTATTTGAAAATATGTAATGATGTAGTAATTATGTGTGATAAATTCTAACCTGTCCTTCTCCCATATCTGAAAGCATAACAACTGTTGCAACACTTTGTTCTTTAATTATCCTCCAAAATTCACTTATGGTACATGCTAATGGATCTTGAGTAATAATGAAAGACAAGGAACGATCGTAACCCTTAAAATAAAAAAATAAATTTTAATTAAATTTATTAATCATATTTACATAACAGCTAAAACATTTACAAAAATAATATTTAATAACATACCTGAATAAATGATGCATTAATGTAAGATGAATGATCACGAGAAGGAGAAGGTGGCAGTATAACCCTATTAACATCATCTAAAATAGTGAAAAGAGTTATAAATAATAAAATATAATTAAATTTGTTAAATCTATTATAAACAACATTTTAAAATATTAAGTATTTAACATTTTACTGTACTAAATTAACTACAAAATGTTCACATAAACCACAACTATACCCAGCAGAAAACAATTAAATATGTAATCCAACACCTTATTTTTCGCTGAGAGATTATTTTTAATTAAAACAAACGTTTTCGATCCATTCATTGGATCATCCTCAGGCTAAATGGAACACTTCATAAATAGAACTACTCGTTTAAATATTCAAAAATACAAATAAACCGATAACATAAAAATAAATAATACTTGTAAATAATACAAATATTCAAAATAAATAACATAATATCATTACTAAATAATAATATCGTCTGCCTAACTATATAGAGCTTATTATTTCATACTAAATTTCCTGCGCTTTTTTTAAGCTTTTAACCGCAAACTTCCAAGCGGAAGGAAGACCCTCCGCATCTCTTGCGTTAATACATTTTTCTTCAAGTTTGCTTCTATAGATTTCTATCTTTTCAGCTGTTCTTGCCAANTCTTTTTAGCCTGAGGATGATCCAATGAATGGATCGAAAACGTTTGTTTTAATTAAAAATAATCTCTCAGCGAAAAATAAGGTGTTGGATTACATATTACAAAATGTTCACATTACAGAGAAAATTCATTCATGTTTAAAATGATTTTTAAAGAAAATAATTAAAACTTAACATTCTAAAAATTCCCATTTACATTATAGATTTATTTATTATTATTATATTTTTTCATTGTAAATATACTCTTATTAATATATTCAAAAACATCACTAATATTATCTTTACAAATTTAAAAGATTTAAATTTTTTGAAAGTTAAGTAATAAATTTTAAAAGCTATTATTTCAATAAATTATTTTTTTAATATAAATCTTTTTTTCCAAATAAATTATCTTATATTTATGTAAATAAGCTATTTTAAAATTTGAATATTAATTAGATAAATTTAACTATTTATAACAATAATATTTTTAAAAATCAATTTGTTTCTAGTACTAAAAACTACAATGTCTTAGATTTATAAATAATGATAAAATTTTTATTAATTGTATTTTTTTTCTTGTTTATTATGCTGTAAATAATAATCTAATACATTATAAGTAACACAATTTAAAAAGGATTTATTGATTAAGAAAATATGCAATTTACTAATTATTGTCAAACCCTATTTATGTTTTTCAAGGAAAAAATGTACAAATGAAATCACTTTTGAATTGCTTTCAGAGTAAATATAATCATTGGAAATGTATAGTGCAGCATAAATGTATAACACTGTATAACTGAATTCGTATGTGTAATTTATAACAAAAAGGATTCAATTTACTACACATATAATATGTGATAGATTTGAACTACATAAAAAAAAAGGAAAGTAAATTCAGTATGAATAGTCATGTACTCTTAAAACTTGGGTTAAATTTTGTTTTTCTTGTTTTTTTGACAGACTTGTCACATTAATACACACTGGTATAGTTATGTGACATCAATTCTCCTGCCAAAACTCTAGTTGCATTAAAAATGCAGTCATTGTAAAGATTAGTTCACACAGACAGCAAATAATGAGAATAAATGAAAAACCAGAAAGTGATTTTTATTTGCTTCACAAAATTGAGTCACACTAAAAAAACACAGAAAACTAAAATTTTCAATATGTAGACTAGCAGAGCAATTTCCTATATGGCAAAATTAGTTGAAAATGGTGTCATATATTATGTATTATTTGCTCTGCTTTTTACAATTGCTAAAAATTTTCAGTCAGTGTGGACTAACCTTAAGTGAATACATAATTTGCTTTTTCACTTTTTTTAACCTTCTGTGAGTCGATGGGTCTGACAGACCCGACACGATTTTTAGTCAAAATTTTTTAATATTAAATATTTTTTGAAAAATTTGAAAAAATTAATATTCCTCAAACTTTTTAACCAGATTAACATGCTGTTAAAATTTTTTGCATAGCAATGCTCATTTTTTTAGAAAAAAATGCTTCATGAGTCGCATGGGTATGACAGACCCATGCAACTCACGGTGGGGGTAAAAAAACGTCAATTAATTACTCGCCGTTGCCGATAGCGAGTGTCGCAATAACTTTATCGCGTTGAAGTTGTCGCGCGGTGTCTATTATACTTTATAATATCGTTATTTATTTATATATTTATATTTTTGTTTTTTTGTTATAATATTGTTTTCAAAATTAATGTCTAATTAACTTTTAATTATTTTAATTATTATTCTATTTTTATCATATAATTTTTATATATTACTTATGATGATTCTTCGTATATTAGACGATGCAAGTTGGCATTTTTTTACATTTACTAACCAATGGGAAACTTGTGAAAACAGTCTAGCTATAAATTGCCGGGAAATATCTCCCCCCTTTCGGCAATGATCTTGGAAATCAAATGTAAACAATCGCTGTAAATTCGCTTGTTTTATTCGCGTTTTGAGCTATAAATTGTTAATTAAATATTGTTTCACAATGTATATACGAGTAAGCATGTTCTCAAAACTGTCTAGCAATAAATATTCCCGGGAAACTCCAACTCTCTATAGTAAGTCTATGGAAGATGTTATTGCTGTTAATTGGCTTTAAAATTTTTGTTTCTACGCCTATTACACTGTAATTGGTAATTTATATTATGACTGATTTAAGTTCAACGAATGAGAGGTTTCTTCAGAACCATCTGGTCTGGATTTTCCCGCGAAGAACCAATCAACGTGATTAAAGTCAGAATGTAAGCAAACCTTACAAATAGCTATCTTCTTCATTTTAGAGCCGTAATTCTGGTAATTTTACTCCTGAATGTTCCTGACAAAACAAACATTTGTTTAAATAACGTCAATTAAAATGAAAAGTAGCGAAATTAGAGCTGAAAACGATGAAAATGGCGATTAACTAACTTTTATTTACATTCTGACATTGATTTAAGTGAAAGGCTAATTCTTATCGCAGTCAATTTCCCACAAGACAATTCTGAGAAGATGCTTACTCGATCAAACGAAATAAAAGCAGTATATGTTAGCTAATTAGCCCCTAAACATTATGAGAGCTAATTAGATATAAAGTGAAAAATTACAACTATGCGACAATCATATCGCATAGCTATCATTATTGTAAAATCAAATAATCTAAATTAATCTGATAAAAATACTTTAAATTGTTATCTGCAATTATTATCTATTTATTTTCCATCGCTAAACAACAAAACAAAACTAAAACAAGAACGTAAACTACATTTTAAGTAATTATAAATGAAATCGCTGCGTTTAATCGCGTTACGACTTTGTTGTCGCGCAATACGCAACGCGCGACAGAAAAAAACAAAAATAAATTATGACAATACAAATTGTGAAAATTACAAAATTTTTGATAATTGCATTTTTATAACATTCAGGTATTGACATGGATGTATTTTTTAAGTATTATTTTGTAAAAATTTTATATTATGAAGAAAACAAATTTCAGAATCGAGAGCATGTCGTAAATTGCCGAATTTTTGATGGTCCACCCATTATTTTTTCGATCGCTTCTTTTCATGCACAGAAAACATTTATAACTAAACTATAAGCAAATAATTTTGATGGATTCTATAATATTTTGAACGATGTCAATTTTTGAAAATAGGTGATCGAGTTAAGCCTAACACACGACTATATCAGATAAAAAATTAAAAATAAAATTTATGTCTAAAAATCATACGAAACTATCTATTAAATCATAAAGACAACATTCTTATGAGTAAAATGAAGTAAAATCTTTGTCAATTAGTCGATTTACAACTCAGAAAAGAAGTGTTGAAAATAGAGTCATAAAACAATTAACGTTTATTGACTTTCGCGGTAGGGGGTAACGCGGGGTCGGTTGACAAATTTTCTCGCAGTAGTGCAAAAGTTCTACTCACTTCGCTTGAAAGTGTCATATTTCTTCCCCACTTACAAACAAACCCGATGGCAATCGGTGAAACAGGAGATAAATTACAGCGAGTTGAAATTTGATATGTTTATTTTTTTGCGTTTTTCGTATCGAATTACATAAAAATAAATATTAAAAAATTAATTTTGTTAATACGCAAGTAATTTATATCACTAGATAGAAAACAAAGCGCAGAATCAAACAAAGAAACTGTAGTTTCTTTATGTGATAGATAAAATTGAATTATTTCATATTAAAAACACTGGGTCTGAAAGACCCATGCGACTCAAGTAAGGGCCCCATTCCTAGCGACTTACGCAGGGTTAATACTCATTTAATATATATAATATATATAGTGTAATATATAAATGTATTCATTTTGATACAAATTGTCTTATTTCAAGTATATGTATCTAGTTGTAATATAGTTTAATTAGATTATGTGATAGAGAATTAGGTTAAATTGGTTGATGATAATGTATAATTTAATGATAGAAAAATTGATTGTTATTAAAATACATCCCTTGTAACCGGCTAATGGCCTTAATACAAATAAACTGATTGATTGAATACTCATTTAAAATTTTTCCATTTCAAAGAGACTAACACAAATAAAAAAAGTGCTTTAGGGTACTGAAAAATATAAGGTGTAAGTACAAAACAGTATAAATGAAAAACCTATAACTGAATTCTTTTATAATAAAGAAAATACTGTGCAGAGAATTTTAACATATAATTGTGAAAAATGTACAGCTGACAAATGTATAAACAAAGTTGATTGTAAAAATTCAGGAATGTTTGAAAAATTAATTATTATATTAAATAATACAATAAAACATATTTCATAATTAAATAATTAGAAAAGATATAATAAAAACTATTACCATAGTAAAATTAGATGAAAAAAGTTAGAATGAAAATTTCTAATGAATTAGTGTTTTTTATTTTAGAAAAATCATATCAGTTTCAGACATAGTCATGCTGTTTTCACTATTAATTTTACTTTGCTTATTTTACTTTATGTAAAGTATTTATGTTTGAATATTTCTTTTAAAATTTAAATCTTTAAATTTTAAAAGTTCAGCAGCATGTTCTGAATAAAGAAACTTCTAATAAAAAAGTACTAAATTAACTACTTAAGATATCCAGCAGGTAAAAAGAAAATTGCCTATATACCAATTAAAAAATATTACTACATTTATCTTTTAATAATTATTCATAAGTAAAATTTTAACATTTAATGTCTTAGAACATTTTATAAATATTAAAATTATAAAATCTTAAATTATATTAAAAAATTTATCAAAATAAAAAAATAGATATGCTGATATATGAAATAAAAAGAAAACTTCTGTTACTTAAACATTTTATCATAAAATTTAAAAAGCTATTAAAGAGAGAGAGTTTTAAAGACATAAAATATTTTAGAATGAAAAGAGCATGCTTCTATTGAGAATAATATACAGTAATTATATTGATTCTTAACAAACTTTCGGTTCTTTTTGTGTTGTGATATTAAAATTTATTTAAAAAGTAATACAGCAAACATTACTAAATTACTTTTAGAAAATTATTTTAAATAAGAATTCCAAAGAAACCAAATTAGTTTGTAACTGAATAACTCTACAATAAATGTTAAATGCAAGTGGTGATTTTATCTTTCATGTAACAAATTCAATAATTTTGATTGCTTATTTTCAAATATAAATTAATTTCACTTACATTGTCTAACATTAAAAATAAACAAAATTTACAGATATAATAAATAAGATCATTAATGACTGTCTAGGAGTTGAAATATTCAAATAATAAAGTTGATTAAGTAATGAAAATTTAATAATTATTGAAACAGTAATATATTTAGATTTACTCCAGTAAATAATAAATATTTAATAATATATTTTATTTCTAAAACGTTAAGAAATAATTATAAATATAAACTTCAAAGTTTACTTACATGGTATGATAAAATCATATCTATTTTTACTCATATTCATTGCCATTGTACCAACACAGGATGCTTTATGATCTTCAATAACTTCACCAAGTTTCTAGAAATAATGTACATCTTATTTTACTTTTGAATTTCAAACTTTTAACTGGGTTAACCATTTATATTCATCATTCCAACATCATCATCTGTTGGGTAAACCATGTTATAATGTGTCATTAATTTCATATCATGACACACTAATAAGATTATACAATGATTATAGATATGCATTAATGAAACATTAAAACCAAATATTATTCCTGATAAATATTTCATATTAAATAATATCTTCTTTCTTTTACTTTTAAGTAAGCATATTACATGTTTGAACACTAGAAATAATTTAAATAATATTTTTAAATAAAAACTGTGATAACAAATTTGTTTACCTGGCTTACTTGATGTATATTTTCATTTTATCTTATAAAATAAGAGTTTACAAACAAAAATGTAAATGTGTTATTATTAATATAATATGATTAAAAAATTATGAGCAGGTAATCAATAAATGCTGAATTTCTAAATAAAAATACAGTCTTTTCTTATCACATTTTATTTATATTATTAAATAATTTAAGTAATCAATTTTCAATTGTTTTATATATATATTTGATTATAAATAATAAAATTTAAAAAATAAATAATGGAAAATAAAAATATTTTAATTATATTTAATTTTAACATTTAAATCTTTTATAACTTTTAAATACATATTTGGATATATTGTATTACCCAATATAACCAAATATACATTATTTAATCATATAATACTTATAACAATTTTTTTTTAAATCTTAAAAAAGTAATATTTGAAAATAGCCATTTCAAAAGTATAATTTTCAAAAAATTAATAAATTCCATGTCTTAGTGTTATACACTGTTTTAATAAAATCTGTCTTATCTATCAAAATAATGATGCATAGAAAGATATTTACAAGGCTAGAAATAAATTAATGCAGTATTAATTTTACATTGTAGATAAAAAAGAATAAGAATATCAAATCATTACATGTATGAAAAAAAAATAGCCTAGATGCATATTTACTTGTAGAGTAAATTATAAAGATAAAAAGTTTCATTATTAGGCAAACAGCACTATCAGCATTTCATTTAATAACACATCAGGGTCTCTAAATATACAATTTTATGATTTCATTTTTATTAAAATCTCAATAACTTGAATAGATGCATATATATAATTTTATTTTTTTAATTTACAGATATAAAAATTTAAAATACAATCATTATTAAAATGAAAATAATGAAAAATAGTATTAAATTTAAAATGTTTACATCACAAATTTACTGTAGTATTACATATTAGGAAATTTTCATATTTTAAAAATTACTCTTTTTTTTATATCTTAAAAATAGTGTACACTCAGCAAAAGTAATGTGACATTGAAAGTCAATGACAGGCTCAACCAATTTTCCATTTTAATTGTTAAATTTTAATGTCTCTCTTTTGACAGGAGGAAATTGATGACAGCCATCATTAATGTTCTATGTTGTCTTAATTTTGCTGCCCATGTGTATCCACTTTCATAAAGCTAGATTAACAAAATATAAATGATCTTTTATATATTTTTTTATTTTATTATGTCTAAGAAAATATATACAGGGTGTATAGTATTTGTAGTGTTTTAAAGAAAATTCTTCTCCCAATTACAGACTGATCCTAAAATTAGTCATTATATAGACAAATATCAAGTATTAAAGTTTTTCTAAGGCTAACTTTTTTCTTATGTAAACATATAAGTTATTGCACAGTATTAAAATTAAACATTTTGTAATTAAATTGCACATACTCTGTCTTTTGTAAATTTAAGAATATAATGCTTATTTAAAAATATAAATATCTTAATAATAAATTGACAGTAGATTTATTTTAGGCAAAGTTCTAGTTATAATAGCAGTAACAATGAAAACAGTTGAACTTTAAAGAGATGAGAAAAAGAGATAAAAAAAACCAAATTAAATTTTTATTCAGTTTTCTTTCTTTTATACAAATCATCATCAGCTATGAAAATTATCAAGTGCATTAGAATAAATACATTCAAAAGAAAAAATCTTTCTCTGTTTGAACTTCTTCAAATTTAAAATTACAAGGAAAGTTATAATTATTGAAAAATTAGTAAAAAGAAGTAAAATAAAAGTAAGTTAAAACAGGAAATTATAAGGAAATTACATTTAACATTGTAGTGTATTCTATTTAATTCAGACTTGCAGCCACCCAAATTACATGCAAATTCTGCAAACACTCCTGCACATGACTGCTACTTCTAGATAAAGTTGGAAAGAACTTTTTGAATAAAAAAGGTAGTATCATAAAAGTCTGAAATAGCAGTTCATTTACTATCTAAGACAAAGAAGTCATAGACATTAATAATTCTAAGCTGTGTGAAGTGTGTATTATCTAATATCAGTTTCTATGATTTAGTTCCATTTAAACTCCTATCTTAAAGAAAATCTAGAACTACTCTTTATTTATGACTTACTATGTTATTATATATATATATTAAATATTTGATACAGTATTAAATGTTTTATTTGAATAGAAGTAATATTCAAGCTATATATTGTATAGCTTGAATATCAGCTTGAATATCAGCTTGAATATCAGCTTGAATATTGTATATAATATTATATACAATATTCAAGCTGAATATTGTATATAAGTATGTTGGATTACAAATCTTTCTCATGTGTATGATTTTGAAGACTATTTTCATAATGTGTATCTACTATGACTATTATCTTAACCATTATCATCTTAAAAACTTTATGAAATTATAACAATCTACTTACTTCAAATTCCAATTCTAAACCTAATCGATCATCGTCACCTATTCTCTCTTTCAATTGTTCATAATGGTCCCTGAGATGGTGCATTTCAATTTCTGTATCTCCAAACTGGGCATGTTCCATTAGGGCCCGATATACAAAAATATACTGTTTCTAAATTTTAAAAAAATTATATATATACATGTATTTAATTCAATTAAGAAATAAAATACAAAAAAAAAATTCAAATAAAATTTTATTTTATAAAATTTCTAACAAACTTACTTAATCTTTTTATGGAAATATTAAGCTACTCACTAAAACTTGCATTAACCTTTATTAATGCAAGTTTTAGTTAATAACTTATTGTGGTATTCATTAATTTTTTTAATAATAATAATAATAATAATCTTTATTTGGCGTAAAAGGCTTTTGCCTGTTACAAGGGCTGGTATTCATTAATTAAAAATTTCATAATGATTTCTAATATTAAATATAAAAATGTAAATGGAAAACAATTTTTTTTCAGTCAAAAGTAATGTAATTTACATAATGACATCCAATTATAAAACAAGCTAACAGCAGTATGTTAACAAATTTATTGTTTAAGAAGAGTAACATTCAAAGAAATTTGTATCACAAACAGAAAGAAGTTGTTAAATATAAAACTAGCCTCTGACGATAGTTTTATTGAAAATTAAATTAATTTCTAAATGATTTCACTGTTAATTGCTTGTTAAATAAAATACAGCAAACAACTGATGAATATGAATAATAAAATATATATTTATTTTTGTGCATTCAAATAAATGATTATTAATTCTCATAAAAGTTCATACAACTTGACAACTTTGATAAATAAACAAAACCAACTGCATAGTTAATGATGGCAACCCTTATTTTTATTTATTTACATGAAATTTCTTTAAATAAGAGACTCAACTGTATTTGTTTATAATTTTCAACATGTTTACAATTATAATTGTTTTAAATATTTTAATTTTAGTTCATTATATTAGACTAAACTCAAATTAAAATATTCAATTAAATTATATATAAAAATTCCATTTATACATTCTTCATCCAGTAAATGAATTCTAAAATGAAGATAAAAAAGTTTTAATTAAAATATCTGGCTAACTAATAATGATAATTCACTACTCATCACACCGGATATAGTAAAAAATTTACGTACCCAGAACCATTTACAGTGCAATCACGTAAAAAGATTGATAAACAAACGTTTTCGAACCCCATCTGGGCTCTGCTTCAGGTTTCAAACAGTTTCTAGATAGATGCTTGATATCCGTTAAAAATCCGAACAAATTTTTAATGGATATCGAACATCTATCTAGAAACTGTTTGAAACCTGAAGCAGAGCCCAGATGGGGTTCAAAAACGTTTGTTTATCAATCTTTTTACATGATCGCACCGTAAATGGTTCTGGTACATAAATTTTTTTCAAAACTTTTTTAAATGTTAGCTATTTAAAACTCAGCAGCAGTTTGCTTTATTTATTGATTCTTAACTAAAATAAAAAAATAGATCTTTTAGTTAGTGATGTAACGAATATTCGGTTACTATTTGGTATTCAGCCTATTTTTCACTATTCAGCTGAATACCGAATATTTAATCACTATTCGGCCAAATACTGAATACCTAAAAACAGGAGTAAGAAATAACAAAAACACAGTAAATTAATCATTTTGGTATTTAGATTTAATGTTGTCGGGTTAGTGTTGTTTGTTTATATTTATTTATAATTTATAACATGCACAAAATAAAAAAGAACATAATATTAGTCACACGTACTCACAATTTATAATTACAAAGATCAGCAGACGTATACACCTACTCATTCAAGAATCGTCACACATCTGAGGTCTGACCCTGCCTATCTTTCTTTTTAAGCGCTCTTCCCTCTCTCTTTCGTCTATCGCTCTAGTCCATGTATGCATACATCATAATGCGCACTCACGATACTTTTGATTCATCACTTTTCCTTCGTAGATTTCCCATTTTACAATTACGTGACTCATAGCCTGGTGATAATGGAGAAAAGAGACAGATAGGACGTAGGTATAAGTCACAGTTCTGATTTCACAGATTCGAAACAGCTCGGTAGCCCAAATGGCCCAAGGTTTTCGCCCGTGCACGCTAAGTGTCTTTCATTACAAGCATTTAGCTTTCCGAAGTCTATGACAACAATTGTTTGACATTGACGGCCATGAATTTTGTGCCAATAAGCTGCCTCAACTTGTTCGATTATGTTATCAACTCAATTTCTTGTTTATTTTCACATTTTCACTTTGCGGTCCTTCTCTCTTCTTTTTCCGTTATTTACATGTATAGGTCATTTCATTGTTATCCACATTTGATATCATCACTTATCACATGCTGCCATGACGCTCATGTATGTTCACTATAACTGTCAAGAATTAACGCGATTGGCAAAGCGTAGTGACAGCGGGCCAATAGAGAGTGGGGTCCTTACCATAATGTGGTTTGTGCGCCAATTTTCATACATGCATTAATTGAGCCGAATAGTTTGGCCGAATATTCGGCCACGCTCCTGGCTGAATATTCAGTATTCAGCCTCAGGCCGAATATACTATTCGTTGCAACACTACTTTTCGTATATACAAACATTTTTCCATAAAAATTGAACACTTTATCATATGTTTAATGACATTTATCTTCTGATAATCTAAAAGTTTCATTTTCATTTGAAAAATTTAATGAAAAACATGTTTTCTAAATAGATTTAGAGGTCAATTTTAGATTTCAAAAATTTCCATTTCTCTTGAATCTGTTAAAAATTAAACTGGAGTTTCATTTGAAGTATTTATTTCATATTATGCTCATGTTGATTGAATCTTGGTTCTGCATTATAAGAAATCTAAACTGCTTTTCCACATATCCAAATTATTAATTAAACATACAAAAATGTTTTGGTCTGTTTTAAGCACACTTCAAGCTTTGGCTATCTAAAAAAGCAGTCTGGATTTCTATTTCTTTCATTTTACATTTTAAGGCATGTACTTAACTTTTTCAAATAAATCTTGCAGTTTTATTAGTAAAACAGTTGTCATGTGATTAAACATCTTATTAAGACTTTCTAAATTTCAGGATTCCTGAAATAAACATATATAATATTTATTTCAGGTAATACAAACTTATTAATTCAAATTTTGTAGTAAATTTATTGCCAGAAAGCGTTTGCAATTTTCAATAATGATCAGTCATTAAATATAATATCAGTCATTTTAATACACTGTTAAAATACTTATAATTATCACAATGTATCAAAATCCACTCAAATTTGTAATTCAGAAATAATAATTTTATTTAATTTTAAATTAAAAATAAATGCTTTGAATATATTGATGACATCCATTTTTAACGGATATGTCATAAATTATAGTCAAAGTTTAATATACAGAGTGTCTTTATACATAATTTAAGTTTAATAATAATCAAAATTATAATTTTTTGGTAACCTGATTGGAATAATTATACTAATCCATTAGTGATATCAAAAGAATCTTTTTTGTTACTTACTAAATATAATAAAACTTTAATGTTAAAAAAAAAAAAACTGTAATAAACTTACCAGTGACTGGACAAGAAAATTTCGCTGTTTACGTAAACTACAAATGTAGATATAGATATCAACTTGACCTTCATCTTCCAACTGTTGAAGAAGAGAATCTATTGCAACAAATGTTCCTGTACGACCTACACCAGCACTGTAATAAAATATTACATTAATACATTTAAATTTTATTGCACATTTAATGTTTAATATAATTTTAAAATGATACTAAAAATTAAAAATTATAATAGGTAATAAAATGATTATATTATTTAGAAATTAAGCATTAATTTCAAATTTCATTCAATGTCAGTAAATGAATGATATTAAGGAATTTAAATTTGACTAAAACTAGTTTTTCTATTTGATCATATAATATTAAATGATTAGATAGAAAAAATTCTTCAATATTTGTTTTAAGATTTCCCTCAATATATTTTTTAAATTAGTAAAGAACATTTTTTAGAAAGATAATAAAGCTCAATCTTGGAAAAGTACTATTAAATTATCAGTTTTTTCATTCTATTATTATCCTATTAAAATTGAATAATAATAACAGATAATTTGTGTTTAATATACATTAAATTTATGACAGAATGATAATATTAGTATAGCTATATTATACTAACTTGATCATTTATTGAATTATCTAATTGTTAATTTGCCTTAAATGTAAATACTGATTACAATAATTTTTAAATTCTAAGTATACTGCTATTGATAATTTTAGTAATTAAACAATTTCAATTTATTAAATATACTCATATTCCAATTGATGCTAAGAATTAATTCCTGAAAAGTTGTATGCAAAGCAGGGCTGTGGAGTCGGAGTCGTGGAGTTTTGATGTTTTGGCCGGAGTCGGAGTCGTCAAAAAATCCGCCGACTCCGACTCCCTTTTTACTTACCAACTTGTTATGTATATGAAACGGAGTCGGAGTCAGAGTCGGATGGTAAGGAAAAGTCAAAGTTGGAGTTGGTAGATTTTTACGCGACTCCACAGCCCTGATGCAAAGTCCAAGTTGAAGTTGACGGTGTGTGTGTGTGTGTGTGTGTGTGACTCTATAAGCCCTCACTGCTATCCCACTCAAGTTTTAAAGTAAATACAGCAAAAACATAAAAAAGAACATTACAAGCAATTGACAACTGGATGAAAGAGAAAAACAGATGTATCATACTCAAATACTAAGTTGTCAAATACTATATGTAAACTAATAAAAGATAAAAAATAATAAACTTTAATATTTGTTCACATATCTGTTTTTACTGAGTATTGTGATGTATATCAATGGTGAACAAATGGTCATTATCAAGACTACTACTGTGCCATTACAGTAGCCTACTAGAATCTCTCTCTAAAATACTGGCATGGAGTTTTGTTACACTCTGCATATATATGAGTAAAGATTCATTCTCAGTGCAATTCACACTTTTTCATAGATATTGGGATGTTGGATGTATAATGTCTCATCAAAATCAAATTCTAACTTTTATTTACAGTTGTATTAAGCCACTAATTTTTGGATTTCAATCAATTATTACTTATTTAATTAAAATTTGACAAATAGTTTAAAATTCTCAAATAGTTATGTTAGATGATGATGCTGTAAAAATATAATATAAAGATATATGTCTGTGATTACAGTAATCAACAAAAAGTACAAACAAAAAATTTTATCTACATTTGTATCTATTTCTAAGAAGAGATTTTATTTGTACTCAAGAAATCATAAAAAAAACATTGAATTAATATTCTAGTTTAATGTTTTCTATTCCATTCAACAAAATAATATATATCTTTCCATTTACTGTTCTGTAATATAATGTAAATATTGATAGGGTTTAATAATATATCAATTTTTTAAAATTACATAATCGTTTTATTAAGCTTTCTGAGAAAATGAAATTCAATTCATCTGAAGATTATTTAAATGCTGAATAAAAGAATAAGTTCTTTCTTTATGGAAAAAATAAATCATGAATACAAGTAAAAATTTTAAATGAAGTTGTAGCAAAAGTAATGATTAATCCAGAACTATTTGGGGATCTGTGTACAAATAGAAGTGTCGGGATAGGATCTTGTAAGAACATGATTCCTGATTTTTTTTAAAACTAGTAACGGCCAAGAAAGACCATTTGATTTTGAATGTGTAGCCATTGATTGGTCGTCAGATCATCACACCACTAACGGACCTCCAACAGAGCAGCTAATCACTCATTGATTGAGGATCACACCACTCTACATATTTGCACAGTGCTATAACCAGTAACCTTTGACTGAGCAGCAAGGAATCATGCCACACGATATATTTGCATAGTGCTATGGCTCAGTAAGCACTAATTAGTCATCTTGCCCACTGTCAATGGCAATCACTGGCTATAAAAAGGTTAATGTTAAAATGGGAGATTTAAGTTCGGCTTAGGACTTCATGTCAGAAACAAGTTCGCTGTGGAGCTTCAAGTCTTGATTCGTCTCGCTGTTTGTTCTTCAGCCACCAGGAGAAGGTTACTTCTAGCCAACAACTCATCAATTTGTTGTAAGGTGTCTTCTTGACAGAGCAGATCAGCATATTGAACCATCTGAACTTTGTTAATGTAATTGGCGCACTGAGTTGGTCGCCAATAGTGAAATAACGAACATTTTAAATTTCACTAGAAGTAACAATCAGAAAGATGGTACATCATCAAAATTGTTAGCTGAATTAATCAATTCACATGAGTAACCACAGTGGCTAGTCTATAATCATCATAACTGTTATAAATAAATTCAAGAAAAAGTTCATCTTAATGCTGGTTTTGTAACCTCTTTGGTTATGCATATGATCTCCAGCAGAGTGTTAAAAATGTCATTTTTTTTACATAGAAAAATCCTTTCCAATAATTCCTGGAAACAGAATCAGATAGAAAAAAAAAACTGTTTTGTTTTTTCTATTAGAATCCTATTTAATTCTATTAACATATGATTCAAAATTTTGAAAATAAAATTTGTTAATTTTCTACAACTTTAAAAATTAATAAAAAATTAACAAATTTAATTTCAAAATTCTGAACTATTCATTAATAAAAGAATTAAATAGAATTTTAATGCAAAATATTGATTCAATCTGCTTTTAGAGAATTTTTGGAAAATAATTTTCCCATAGAAAAAATTATATTTTTGTCATATGCTGGAGATAACATGCTTAACAAAAGAAGTTACAATCAGCTTAAAATACTGCAACAGTATAGCAGCTAATGTATTTGCACATTAATCAAAGATTACATATTACAATTCTATTTTAATGTGTTATTGTTATGTGATATAATAATTAATCTAGACTGTCCAATCATTAACAGTATATCAAGTTCATAAAGGCATAAGTCCTATAAAAGTTTCTCTCTCTTTTTATACATTTATTCATTGCTGCTGTGAGACCTTTTCTCTAATTTTAGTTTCTATGTTCTTTAATTTTAACATTAATAATTATTATATCTAAAGGATCTTGATAGCAAAGTATTACTTTTTATGAATTCATCTATAGTTTTATTATTATATAAAATAAATTTTAATCATGGCTCAATTCTCATTAATACATGAATAAAATTTATTAAGAAGTCAAAAGTATTCATTTACACCTTACCTACAATGGACAAGTAAAGGTCCTCTATCTGCAGAGTAATTTTCATTAACACGCTTAATAAATCGTAATAACCAAGATGGTTGTTCTGGTGCTAAAAAATCTTTCCACATCATAAAATGAAAATGTAAAATTTCTCTTTCATCTTTACTGTCTTCATCCTAAAAAATAAAGACTAGCAAGTTAAAACAAATATCAAATTAATTAGTATTAAAACAGTATTATCTTGTTAATCCAAATCAATATTATGCCTTTTATAACTTCTCAAAAAATAAAAATACTTTATTAAATTAAAACTTTTATTTTATTTTATATTGAAAGGTATTAAAGATAAATATGAATGCTTTCAAAAACCATCATAGCAAATTTTTTTAATTTTAATGCTAAGCAGATTTGGCATAGGGAACAATTCTGTCAGTAGGCTATGTCAATGCTAAGCAGATTGACATAGCATACTGTTAACTAAATTGTCTGAGTATCATCTTTAAATTAATTAATAATATAACATGCATTATATTAAGAAAAATAACCACTCGTAACAATTATTTAAAATTTGCTATATGTATTTTAATTACCTTAATATACTTTACTTGAAGCCTTCTGACAATATAATCAGAATACTTTTTAGTACTAACAACAGCAACATTAAAAGTTTCTTCAATTATTTTTGGCCCATCATCTGACCAGTACTGAGAACATTTAATCTAAAAATATAATCATTACTTTTTCAATATTTTATATTATTATGAAATATCAAAATAATAATAAAAAATGAATAAAATTTTATTGTGTGAATATTTTGAATTGAATAAATAAATACTAAATGAAAAATTTAGTAACTCAAGATAAAAATTGCATCATAAATCATACAGTTTATATAAAATAATTATTAAAACAATGAAAAATTCCAATTGACAGATAATTTTGATGGCAATTAAGAAGCATGCAAGGAAAAATTATTCCGTAATATTAGAAAGGAAAAATGTGTGTAATAAATATGTTAAATCATCCTTTACATGTACACAGAATAAACTAAACAAACATACTGTTATTAGACATGAAAACATACAAAACATGAAAGATTCTGTTAAATGTTTGTTGGCTGAAATGTGATCTTAATTTCAGAATCATTCAAAACTAATTAGAAAATTAAGTTATAGAAATAATGTTGAAGCAGTGTTAGATACATTATCTATATACTTTTATTTTCAAAATAAATTAACATGATCTTATCATTCATGTTTTGTAAGAATTGAAATATAATAATTACAAAATTTGATAAATCATCATAAAATTTTTATGATAACAAGAAATATACAGGTAGGCCTCCTACAACGCGATAGATACGTTCCGTGAAAATACTGCCTTGTAGGAAATCACGTTATAGGAGACACCAACTTAATACAAAAACTGGGATTTGGTTCTAAAAAGAGAAAAACTTTGATGTTTGGAATGGCGTTTTTTGAATTTTTCAAACCAGCCATTGCTAGCCACGAATTTAAACCTTATTTCATCAGCCGACGACTGTCCCATTTGTTTTAAATAATCAAATATTTTTAAGGCTTTGTGTTTAACTGCACTTTTATTTAAAGGCAACAGTTTCTTGTTCATATCTTCTAACCATAATATTAGCGCTTGTTCCATTTTTTTTTTTTTCATTATAGGTGCTCTCGGACGAGCAACAATTTTCCCAAGAATAGATGATCCGGATGCAACTGAATTCCTAATCTTTTCTTCCTATTGCTTATTCGACCGAATAGTTGACTCATTTAAATTAAAATGCCTACCAATATCAGCTATCCGCTCTTGATTTTTAATTTGATCTAAAATTTCTATCTTTGTTTGAAGAGATATATTAATAAATTTCCTTTCTAACTTCTTTTCTAACGGTCCTTTCTTTTCATTCAACATTCTTATGGCTAAAATTTTTTCAAGCAGTTTTGTGGACAGTAAAAATCGCAAAAAAATAACTTCCCTTCACTATGTTGTTAAAAATATACACCCAATAGAAGTTTATACTGTATTTTGGACCATTTTTGCAGTCCCCACCTATTGAAAGAGTATAAATTATCGAAAATTCAATGATATATTTGAGTGTTTATGGTAACTGATGCACATCTGTCTAGATACTGGTTTTCCAATGAAACTTTCATGGGAATAACACGTCAACGTGGACAAACAGCTGTTTTCAAGGACATTTAGCTCTGTGGTGTATTACGTGATCCGTTGCGATTTTTCTGTTATGTGAAAGATAATTTGTTTCTAAGTACCATAAACCGCATTGTAAGAAAATTTCCGCATTTTTCCAACCGCGTTGGAGCGAAAACGTGTTGTAAAGGTACCGCGTTGTAGGAGGCCTACCTGTATACTACTCTTTGTCAAAATGTATGATCTTTAAAACACATTTTCAACATTTATTTATACTTTGTTATAATTATATTTTAAAAAAAAGTCATTTAATCAATAGATAGATTTAAGTCAAGAATAGATTTATATAAAAATTATCAGGTTAGAATATTCTGTACATGAACTAATATTATATGACATTGATAGATTAACACTTTGATAGGTTTTGGCTAACAAAACAAGATTTGTCAATTCTGTTTTATCAATGAAACAATTTATTTTTCATTTAATATACAAATTTACAAAAATTGAAACTATTATAAATATTAAAATAAACAAGACACCCACAATTGCTTTCCTAAATCTTGTTGTTGGGCAGACTAAAATGAAACATTTTATTCACAAGTGGAATAAAATGATGAGTTGTTTTATTTTTTTTTATTAATAAAGAAGTGTTGTTCTTTTATTTTTGGATATTTGTCTATAATTTCAAATTTATTCAATTAATTGCTTTCCACACATAAAAAACTAAACTGCTTTGGTTATTTTAATGTTTCTCTTCAAGTTATATAAAACAATTTCAAGCTGGTCTAATTTTATCATTTATAGATGTACCTAGGGTTGCCACCTTTTTAAAATCGCTGACCTGGACGGCAGGTGAGGTTTGTTCGAACAGAAGTTCCTGGCACATGCGTATATCATTTTGCAATGCAAAGAATAATTTGCAGTGCATGCTGGTTCTAAATCAGTTACAGTTAGCAACTAGGGAGACTTGGATTGGAGTAATGCAAGTGACCTAGCTCTATTGGATATTGGAGGTGTATCATGATTAAGAATGAACACTACAAGCAAAACAAAAAAAAGTTAGCAGGTTACGCACGATATCCCCGGACGGTGAGTCAGGTGGTAACACTATTCTGTGCTCATTTCAATCAGACTCCCCTGCCGCCCCCCTACGCTATGCTACTGTCTTTAAGTCAACGACTACCACACTAGTAATTCGGTACACGGGGGAAGAAATATATGCGACTGTTCGCAAATAATTTTGTATATATTCATTTCAACTTGCACAACCCGGAGGAATATTAATTAACCCCGGAGATAATTCACTCAATCTCAGAGTCTCCGGGTCAAACCCGGAGGTGGCAACACTAGATGTACCAGATCTGACCAATAGCAGTCTTTCAAAATCATCATCTAATGAAAGATTACTGATGTTACATCTATCTTTTTTTTTTTTTTTTAACCTCTCATTAAGTTTCTTAATGGACAGTCAACCATCAGAGTTGTCAGAGTTGATGATAGTGTAACAATGAAGAGTTAAAGTTAATTAATATTTAATCAATTGGATTATTATTTCGTAGTAAATTTGTTTTCTAGTTTTTTCATATTATAAATATATAGTGTTATTTTTATTCTTCATAAAAATAATTATAACTTTTATAAATGTTTGAAAATGAATGCTTTTATTAATTAATTTATGAATTACAAAGAAAAATATATTTATTTCTGAAAGTGTATGTTTCTGAATAAACAGGAACTGTATTATCTTCATAAAAGTAATATCTTACTATATTGTAGTTTAACAATTATACATTAGTAAAAAATACTTTTTTCTACAGTATTTATTACCTTATTTTTACTTGAATGTTATATATGTATTTTAAAATAAAAATTAGATCCAAATTTTGATGTACATAAATTAACAACTTTCAAGATATTTCCAAACTATTCTCATATAAACAAACATTGTTATACTTCTGTAAAACTACTTCTTTATCCATACTTTCATGTCATAAATAATGTACAAAACTCTAGAACTTTTTCTAATTTTTAAATAAATTTGGCCACCTAGCTTTATACTTGTGTAGCAGTATCAATTTGTTTTTTTTTAATAAAATGCAATTAAGTAAAATTGTTGTAAAGATTAAAGTCTTTGATTAGATTTTGTAAATTAGCTTAAAAATTTATTATTTTGTTTAACAGAATAATTTTCAAGATTAAGTTATTGATTTACCAAAATTAGCATACTATTTATAATAGGTAATACTCTATCTCAGGAGGACCATATGATGTAGATACAAGACAGGGTATTTACTATTTGGTGTTAAACAATAAACTGTTACACAAATATAAAAATAACAAGGAAGTAAATTTGAAATATAATCTTTGATTTTAAAACTTTCAATAAAACAGAATTATATTTCTATATGTATATAATAAGAATAAACTAAACTGTCTTTTGGCAGTAAAGTTGCCTGTAATTAAAAACTTGCAAGTAAACAAGTATTTTAACATTTCAAAACGTCATCTTTGGGTTGAGCATATACCATTCAAGTTACAATTTAAAAAAAAATACTTTTTAAGTAATTAAAAACTTAATACTGAAAGATAGTTTTGGTTTATTCTTAATCTAAGTTTGGCATCATTAAAGAGCATATTTTTTTATATATGTATATGTTATTGTACAATTTATATTTATAATTAATTCAAATTTAACATATTTTTATTAATGAAACGTTAATATATAAGTAAATATAATTAATTTAGAAATCAACTTAGACTAATCTTGTAAAACAGAAAATTAAATTAACTAATCAATCACAAAAACTAAAATCTCAAATAATAAGAAAGATAATAACCATTGTCCTAGATATGTTGGACACTGTCTCTCACCACCCAATCACTCCATTGTGGGTTTAGTCAAACCTACTTGTGAGCTTGAAAAAATACCCTCTTAGTGCTTACAGGGCAGTAAAAGTAAAGAAGAAAGGGTGTGTGTGTGTGTGGATACAGCTTTACAGAGAAAATTTTAAAGTTTTTTTTAACTCACTAGGAAAAATTCATAACAAAGATTAAACTCTAAATAAATTTCTAATAACAGTACTAAAAATCAAATTAAACCAACATTAAACAAGAAATAAGAAACTTGTTTATTTAACAATCTATATTTACAGAATTTACTTTTACATAATAATCTATGCTAGCTAAAATCAAAAATTTTATTAACAAAATTTGAATATTTTCAAGCAAACCAAACATTTGCATCAAAAATACTGTAAAAACTTATTCCTCTCTTACTGAATAATCTTATATATTGCAGATTGTAATAACTCTTATGGAGAGACTCAACAGACATCTAAAAGGTATGTTTTTAATACTATGATTAGCAAATAGTAAATAATGTTTAATACACTATTATTACTCTATTATGATGTATTTGCAATTAAAAATACTTATACAGTAATACCTCGACTTACGCGAACCCGGAGTTATGAGATTTTCAAATCTCGTCGATTCGTCTTTTGTTTGAGCGCCACGCAACTCTTGATTACTCACTCCCCACACACTATTGTTCAGCTTACATGTTCGGACGTGTCGCGCGGAATCGACACATAGCTACAATTTATTTTGTGTTATTTATTTCTGTGTTTGTTATAACTATGGAGACTTGAGAGACTCTATGTGGTGATTTCTTGCAACCGTGAACGAATCAAAACACAAGATAAGACTAACGAGAACATTTATTAGCTTACATACATCCAACTTGGATTTTACACAAACTGCGATTTACGCAGTTATTGCTTGTTCCCACCTATCGCGTAAGTTCGGGGTATTACTGTATTTTATTTAAAAAACAATAAAATTTTATAAGATTTCATAAGTATTTGATATGACTTTTATTTCAAAAATAGTGTGTGTTAAAAAATGCTAAATGAATGGGAATGAATTAATCTCTCTTTTTTTCTATCAAAACTCATGGAACATGTGGATTGGATTATGGATAATTTATCTTTTGCAAGATGCATCATCACATTATAGTTATTATATTTGTGAGATTCTGTGACACAGTTTTATAAAAAAAATAATATTTTAATAATTTATTAAAACAAATTGTTAACAAAAAAGAAAATTTTAGAAAAAGTGAAGAGGAAGCAACCAAATCTTGACAAAGATAACATTTCCTGGAGAGATGACTCATACAGAGAAGTAAAGTGAAAAATTAGAACTGGATGATGATGTTGCTCCATCTGATTTTATCTTTTTTGGTAACTCAGAGTCTAGAAAGATATAAAATAACTACCAAAAGGTCATATAGGTCATCCAGTTCAGTTGCTTCAGGAGAGATTAACAGTCCTCTTGTTTAGTTTGTCAACTAGTTCTGCCCAAGGAGTCCATCCTTCAGTCTACTTCAGCCAACTAGTTCCAGTCCAGTCCTATCACTACTCAACTATTCTGACTGCCATAAAGAGTCACCCTTCGACTCAATAACTGTTACAATAAATGATAGAAATGGAGAAAAAATAGAGAACTTTTGATTCAAGTCACCCTGAAGATGTTGTTTATCACTGAAGGTAATCTATGTGCAGCCCATTGTAAACTCTCTCTCTCTCATGATCAGAAGACCTTAATTATAAGATAGTTATAAGATAGAAAAGGGTCTTTAGCAGCTCATATTCAATAATATGTAAGATAGGACTGAGTTTCTTTTGAAGTTAATTATGTTTCTTAATATATAGTTGTAACCAATATATATCTCAGTTAAATAAATCTAATTTTGATAGTTCAATCATGTTATTGTGTGCATCATTCCAGGGTTCCCTGTCTCTCTTACAGGGAAATGACACCCCCATAGGATCCACATCTTCATGGATGGCTCCAAGTCTGACAAAGGCGTTGGGTGCTCAATGGTGATCACCTACAACAAAAGAAATTTATACCAGGTGCAGTACAAGCTTGGCGAACACTGCAATGCTAACCAAGCAGAGTCGCTAGCCATCTTCCATGCCCTACAGTGGACTTTGAACAATAGTCATCATCACAACAAAGAATGTCACCATTCTCAGTGACAGCCGTGTCGCACTCCAGCAACTGAAAAAAGCTGAACAGCAACTACTCAACGGTCTATCAAAGCATACACATTATAATTCATTTACGCCGTATCATCATCATCAGGCTCCACTGGGTGAAAGGCCATGCTGATAATGCTGGCAACAAGAGAGCAAACTTGCTGGCCTGCACCGCTCCAAAAGGATCACTCACTATTCTTTCAGTGCTATTCCCCCTAAATGGCTTCACAACCAAATCAGAGAATACTCCTGGAAATGTTGGCAAGACAGGTGGGACACTGGTACAACAGGTAGACCCCACCAATTTATTCCTAGTGTGAAACAACGTCACAGTTATAAACACCTGATTCCCTCCTTCTCAACTACACAGATGTATACAGGGCATGGAAACTTTCGCAGTTACCTGAAAAGGTTTCTGAATAAAACTGATGGACTCTGCCCATGCCCTCTCAAAGAACAGGAAGACCCACTGTAAATTTTCTTTCACTGCCCTATCTACTCAAGCCAACGAAAGGGACTCATAAATGAAATACAAAACAGGAATGAGCTCTGGCCTTATGAGCTTAGGGTCTTCACAGAAAACAAACACATCTACAAAGCCTTAAAGAAATTCATTCAAGACATCAAGATATTGGACTAGCATGAAGTAATCTATGTTGCAACCCTGTAATTATCATGGTAACAGTAATTGTGTCCCCTGTTATTTAATGTAAATCTTTACATCACCGTATACCAACTTCAAAAATTTTTTCTACAAAGTCACCAAATTATGTATGTGAAAGTATTACTTGTGTAACTTTCCACTCTGAAATTGTACTCTCTGGATTTTTATATGAATTTTCTGCAATGTAACGACAATGTTTTATCTGTCTACATACTCATCAGCATCCTTTGACTGTTTATCTACTGTACTAACTGTATACAACTGTAAATAATGTAATGTAAGTATTTGTCTTAAATATATGCGATGCAGACACCTTGAGTCCCATGGACTAAGGTCTTTTTCCCTCTATCCTATCTCCTGTACTTCCCCTTCACCCTAACTTCTTCATACACAACTTTACATCTTCCTCCTGCTTCTGGTCTTGGGATATACCACTGAGTGTAACCCATACCCGTCTTCACTCGATGTCTCTCTTACTTCCCTCCTCCATCTGCTGAAGTCCTACATTCATACCACTCAATTACATGGAAAATGCACAAAATTTAAATGGGTTTCCTATATTTCCAAAGTCAAAGATATAGGTGGTGTCAGATCTGACCCAAGTGGTGCTTTGTCCATCTCATATATTTATGTTGTTCATTTAAACTTAAATTTAAAAAATTAGCAAAATTTCTTGTATTTTATTGTTATAAAAGGAAAGTTTCCTTTCTAATTCAACATATTTCTTATTTTAATTTCTTTGTTTCATGCTAAACTTACAACCCTGTAATATATTGTATTGAATATCACAAGTACAGTAATTACAATAAAATTTAAAAATTACTGGCAATGTTAATCAAGTATTAATAAATAGTAATATTTTGTTTTTTTAATTTATTAATTAATGTTAATTTATATATGATAATAAATCCTTTAAAAAGTATAATATTTAATTGAATTTCTTGTGTCGTAACATATTTCACATATCAAAATCTACTTATACATGAATAGAATAGAATGTTTATTATTATTTATTGTACAAATGAAACACAAAAGCAATTTTGTAGCATTCTGTCTGTATTTGCAAGAACTAATAAATTACAAAAATAAATTTCTTTACCATAAAAAAATAAATCATCATCATCATACCTTTCCATGTTCCTCAATACCAGTTAGCATAACAATAACACAGACTTTGTGTTCCCATATCATTCTCCAAAAATCAAATACTGTTCTTTCTAGAGGGCCTTGAGCACATATGAAAGTTTTCCTTGATTTATAACCCTAGAATATATTTTAAAAAATTATTTTTTATAAATTTATGATTTTGTATTTGAAATAAATATTAAAAAATTCTAATAAAACTTAATTTTTTTATTTACTCTTTTGTTGCTTTCTGAAAGTATCTCATTACAACCATTTGTGTTTAATAATACTAAAATAGGCCCAACAAATGTTTTAATATAATTATGAAAATTTTTCATACTCATTAATAAGATTCATTTTAGCTTTACATATTATATATATATATATATTAAAATAATATAACTTTTCAAAATTCTCTAATAACTTTGAAATTATAGAAATAGCAGAAACAAAATATGTCAATTGACATTAAAAGTTTAATCTTGCTTATTGCTATAGTAACTAAGCTAGATGTTTGTTTGACAGGGCTCATGACTCAAAATCTAGTCAGAGAGAATGTTTATTAAAATTTCATTTCTTAAATTTGGTTATAACTAATGCACTTTGACTGTTTANCCTTTTGGTGATTATATAAATACAAAATTATAATTTTTATATCAAGCAGTAAATTTTATAATACTAACAGTACAAATACAAGAATAATCAGCAAATTAATCATGAAAAAGCAATGATATTAAAATTACAAATCAAACCAGTTAGACAAAATCATCAATTGTTCATTAGATACTTCATCTTTGTGGCACTAATCAACAGAAAAATTTAAAATGAAAAAAGCATCCAAGTATTTTTCTACAATAATTCATTCTGACTGTCAGTGTCATCCTATTTTTCTTTCAATTTAAATTTTGTCTTATTAAAGAATGAAGAAAATGGTACAATCCTTAATGAAAGTTAAATAAAATAAAAATCAGACAATACTGACAGATCAGAAAGAGTTATCTGAGAAAAACATTATAATTTATTTCCTAGCCATAACTGTAGCTTTAAAATGAAGTATTTTCAAATTAAACTATCTATGCAGAATAAAATAAAAACTTTCACAATGAAAATATACTAGATGAAATATATTAATATAATATTTATCATATAAATCAGGATATATAAATATATCACCTATAATATTTTCAAAATTCTGTAACATTTAAATTGTCATCATCTTTGTAATCATACTGTATTTCCATTACAATTTATTAAACAATTGGCAGTTTGAAGCCATTATAGTCATCAAATAAATGAAACCACACAGATTAAACAAAACAAAAATTTAGAATGTTTGTGTTTATCAGTATTTAATGAGGATTGTAGTTTAAAAATATTTTTAAATCTTATGGCCATGTTATAAAGCATGTTAAACATAATTAAGCTAATAAAATATAAGACAGGGATGGCCAACACGTAGACCACGGTCGACCGCAAAGGTTTTGAAAGTAGTCTGCGAAGCTAAAGTTGAACAATTTGCTTTCACTTAAATTAATGTTTAAAAATCTTAATTCGATAATTTATTCTTACAATAATAGACTGTCTGTGCAATGTACCCATACTGTTTGTATTTATCCCAATGAACAATGCAAATGGATGTTAACGCATGTGCATATAAAAATCCTAAAATTGTTTGCCCATATTCATAGTTGCCCGCAGACTATATTTTACCAAAAAAGCAGACCCTAAAAGATAAAAGTTTGGCCACACCTGATATAAAGCATATCAGTATTTGCTTGTATGAAGTCACTAAAAGTACGAAGCTCCAGACAAAAGCATATGTTGTTTATACTTTATATTATCTTCCGTATGCTATTGAATGGAGGAAAAATTGAATATTAAATGATAAACGTTTTTGTTCGAAAATATGATATGAATTCAAGGGACGGAGCAGCAACTCTCAGAAAGTCATAAAAATANTTTAATATACAGTAATACCCCGACTTATGTGAACCCGGAGTTACATAATTTTCAAATCTCGTCGATTCATCTTTTGTTTGAGTGCCACACAACCCTTGATTACTCACTCCCCCACACTATTGTTCAACTTACATGTTTGGATGTGTCGCGTGGAATCCACATATAGCTACAATTTATTTTGTGTTATTTATTTCTGTGTTTGTTATATCTACGGACACTCGAGAGACTCTACTATGTCATCCAAACGAAGTAGAACTAATTCTTCTGCATCAAACAAGAAAAGAAAAACTTTATCTTTGGAATGGAAAGTTAACATTGGGTATGTTCGTAAAGTCGAACGAGTTAAGCGAGAATGAAGTCATCGTTATTCCTATTTCGTTAAACTTTTCGAATGATTCATTACTAACGCGTTTAACTCGTTTGACTTTACGAACATACCCATTATTAAAGACTTCAATACAAAAATGAAAATTTGTGAATTGGCAAAGAAGTTTGATCTACCGGAATTGTTGGTCAGAACAATTATAAAAGGCAAAGAAAAGATTCTTGAAGCTGTGAAAAATGCTCAATCTTTTAAATTCAAGCATCATTCGTAAATGTCACAGTATTATCGCTGAGATGGAAACAATGTTAAAATTATGGCGTAATAATCAAGTAAATGTGAAAAATTGTAAAATAATATAGGCCTAATTTGTTATACATATGTTTATCTAAGATTTTATTAAACATTTTTTTCTAAATTATTATTTTCTTTAGTCTCCGGCCCGAATTAAAAATTATTTGTATGTATTTATATGTGAAATTATACCCCAACTTATGTGAATTCGACTTACACTGTTACCGCTCGGTCCCACCTATCGCGTAAGTTCGGAGTATTACTGTATTAAACTTTCAAATTAATTTGAAAAAGTCATTCTTAATTAAAAAAATGCAATTATGTTTTACTTTAATGTAATTAACAAAAATACATTTACATTCTCCAACAACAATTTTTACTGTTTATATTAAAGTCACAAAATATATTTTTATTACTTTACTTAATTCATGAAAACTTACCTTAACAAAATTTGCATTTATATAATCAGAACCAGGAATTCCTTCAATAACTGGTAAACGCACTCTTGTTTGATCATCTAAAAATCATAATTTAATAAAATTTCAGTTTATTGTTAATATCAATCTAATTCATGTAACTAAATAATTATTTTATTAAAGAAAATGCATTCATTTTCTTTAATAAAAATTCAATTTGAAAAAATTGAAGTTGTGTTGAAATATATATGAACATACATAAACTGATTTTCATTCTAATATTTTAAAAAGCATATAAACTAAACTTACAGGCTTTAATATCAGGATATCTGTTTTTAATTATATTGTCCGGACTATCTGATGCATTTGTTGTTCTATCTTTATGCTTTTCTGGTAAAGCCTAAATGCAATGAGTTTATTAATAAAGTTTTGTAACATATTAAATGTATTAAAAATCATATAATAATTTATTATTTAATGGTTTTGATGGAAGAATTATATATTCTTTCATCAAAATCTTGTTTTTTTAAAACTAAATAATTATTTTCATAATTCAAATAAAAACCTAAGTAATGATATTATCTATATACTGATAAATTTGTGACAGTCAAACATGTGGTTTTACTTGTCTCAGATCTGAAATTTATTAATTTGAAAAAATTGAAGTTGTGTTGAAATATATATGAACATACATAAACTGATTTTCATTCTAATATTTTAAAAAGCATTAAAAACAATTGCATGTCAGATAAAAATTAAACTAAACTTCACTTTTTAAAAACTCTTATTTATTTAAGATTTATAAAATAAATATCAGCTGCCTAAAATAATTTTGATGCTTGGAATTATAGCAAATCAAAAACCTTAAATTTCAGCATAAATATTTTTAATGGCTAATGTTTAAATAGGCCTTTAAATAAAGTTCAAAAACATTAGCCATTAAGAATAGTTATGCTGGAATTTAAGGTTTTTGTTTTGACAAATTAAATTTTTCCAGTTTTGTTAGTACTAAAATTATAGCTCTCAACTTTGGATTTTATAGTCACATTAAGTTAAATTAGTTATGATTTCATAAATCCCTTTAGTTTTAAGATTTGGAATGATGTTTTTGTGAATTTTAGAAAAACATCAATAAATGCAGCAATATAAATATGTCTTATTTGTATGAAAAAAGTGATTATCATTCAAAACTTTTAGGAAATATAGCAAAAAAAAAAAAAAAATGCTACATTTTGTTCCATAACAATCTATTGATGCTATTAACAAAATTATTTGGCATTCATTGCAGATATTATTTTCTACTTCAAAAATCTGCATCATCTTTCAGATGAAAAATGAAAATAGACTAGATATGATATGAACAGTACACAATACATATCACTAAGCTAATAAAATACAAAGTTGATTCATCCAGTAGTCACTAGCATAATTTTAAGAAATAGTCAAACATCTGTAATAAAAGACTGAAGAGGGGGCCTGAAATGCATTTCCTGTTATAATAAAGTTGAAATTGTCAATTACTGGTGTGTTCCTTGTATGATTTATTCTCTTCAGCAAAATTTATGCTTATCACTAAAGGATGTATTGAGAGAATGAGTAGCAATTAAGCAATGAAATAAAAAGTATAGAATAAATTTAATTTAATGTAGAACTTTAATTGATTACTTTTTGTGTATCCTTATTTACAGTGTCTTAATAATAATATGACAAAATATTTAAAAAAATTCTGAAAAATATCTAGCAAATCTGATAATTTATTTATCTAAAAAATAAACTATTATTAGGCATTCATTCATATTAATTTAATTATAACCTAACACGCTTAACTCGTTTGACTTTACGAACGTACCCATTATTAAAGACTTCAATACAAAAATGAAAATTTGTGAATTGGCAAAGAAGTTTGATCTACCGGAATTGTTGGTCAGAACAATTATAAAAGGCAAAGAAAAAATTCTCGAAGCTGTGAAAAATGCTCAATCTTTAAATTCAAGCATNAAGAAATATACTAGAAACTTCGACCAGAATTAATCCACTGAAGATTTATGTTATTTCTGTTTTAATTAATTAATTAATTTATTTGTTTATATATTCTTCCGTTATTTTTGCCTGTAAAATTTTTTGATTTAAATATTTTTATGTTCTATTTATGGAACATTTGCGTTCCATTTTTTCGACCTGAAGATGGCCTATTAACTAGGTTGAAAACGTTTGTTTTTGCAAATTATATTTATTTCTCGGCAAAAAAAGGTGTTTTCGTTATTATTATTTAGTGGCTGAGCGATTTTGGTATTGTATTATTGGTATTATTATTCTTTATTTGTTCGTTTTCTATACTATTAAATGAATTTTTCATATATAATTTAACATCTGTCACTAGTCCTGTGCGAAATTATTGAATTTTCAAATATGTTTTGATTTTACTTTTTTGTTTTCTGTTTACTAATAGTTTAATTTCGTCAGACATTTCATTAATATCTTTATTTTATTTCATTTTTTTTTTAAATTCAAAATTAAAATTCATCGTAATCTCTGAAAATTCCTAATAACTTTATATCCTCTTTCCTCTGGAAATCATTTCCTTTTGTATTTCAAATGAAAATAAAATAAAATGTTTATTACATTTATAAACAGACATAAATAAAATTCTACACCAAAAAAAAAAAAAGTATCTCTATAATATATAAAGACTGGCCCAAAAAATTTTTTAATCATATTTTATTTTGGGTGCTTTGGATATGCTTGTGAATATGAATGATAAGAAGTTCTGAATATTTTCTTCCTATTCCTTAAACTGCTTTTCTTTAACTTTAATTTTTTATTATTCCTAGCACTTTCTGGTTCCCATCATTCAAGATTTTTAATGTTTTACAGTTAGTGGCATACCAATGAGTCAGTGTATGGCATCAAAGATACTCATAATAAATTTAAAGTAATGTCAAAAATGTGTATTTTTATAAGTAAAAACTATGCAAATACTATTTAAAAAGTAGATAAACAGTTAGCTTGGTCCTCTTAGAAGTTTGGGACACACTAGTGTGCTGCAGCTAAGTAATTATCAAAACATTATTAAGTAACAATGTGGCTATTAAATTTAGGATAATTAGGATGAAGAAAATTATTAGGACAATAATCATGAAAGAATTTTGGATTGAGATAAAACTAATATTTTATGAAAATGTGACTTTTTGCTAATTACATAATTTTGTTTTTATATTTATTGTGAACATTCTTGATAATGACTTACAGGAACCAGAAAATACTAGAAAAGTGAGAAATATAAACTCCAAAATGGTAGTTTAAAGAATAAGTTAATATTGGCACTGTTCTTTTTGTGTTAAGTAATGTGAATGTGTTTTTATTTTACAAAACTGGCAAAAAAATAAAAAAAATACGATTTAGTATTTAAGTATTTAAATAACAGTTTAAATTTTTTTAATGAACTTTTGGGTAATATTCCAAATTAAATATGTACCATAATTTTCATAAATATTATTTAATTTGGAAAAAATTTTATTACTACTTATTATATTTTATATACAATTTACAATTGGTTTATTAATTTTGAACAAACTGATTTGAAATCTGATTATTTTCTTTTAAAGAAAAATCAAAAATAATTTTATATTAAATCATATTTTTTGATAAAAAATTGAATGCAATGAAATGAATAAATTAATTATTAATTTCCTCCATATTTGTTAACATATTCCACATGTTATGTTAAGAAAATGAAGGAATAAACTAAATTATTTTAGTGATAAATCATAAAATAGTTTCTATTAACTAATTATGATTGATTGATTGATTGATTAGTTACCACTAGCATATTATAAGCTACAAGATCAATCACAATTATCCAATTATGGATATGATTGATCCTCAATGGAGTCATCCAGTTCAGATGAGGGATGAAGCTGGAACTTGTATTGTTCATAATAAATTATGAAAGCCTGAATAAAATTTACACTGTAATCAATATAGCAGTAAAGTAACATCTTACTGCATGATCATCTGACCAACTTATTAATGAATTAAATAATAATGAAAAGTTATTTAAGGTATGAAAGTTATTGGTGATCAATCTATATCACCAATATATATATATATGTTTGTGTGTGTATGTGTGTATACATACATACAGTGCTTTTTTTTTCTAAAAATTACTTCTAGTACATATATATGGTGACTGAACAAATAAAATTTATTTTTTTACCAAGCAACTGCCAGTACTAAGTACCAGCTATCCATATTTTTATGCTATCCGTGGGTACAATGTTGGACATGTTCTGGCTGTAAAATAGCCCTGTATACACAGTATATATAAAACATTAAAACATTATAAAATATCAATGAATCTGAATAAAAACTGATTCAAAAAATTTCATTGATAATAAATGTTTAAAATATTTTATTAATGCATTTTAAAAAGCACTAATTAGGAATGTACCCATAGCAGAACTATAGTCAAGGTCATTGTTGTCTGAAACTGCTGAAATCAAAACTTGTACTGTACTTTGTTTTGTTTATAAAGTAAATTTGCCATTGAATTATTCAGAATATTTTACTAAGAATGTATTTTTTGATTTTTGTAAATTATAAAATGATCAAATATAATTGTAAATATGAAAGCAGGAGCTACCTAATATATTCTGAGACTATCATCTCATTCATATTTCTTACTAAAATATTCTACAATACTAGAATATAATTTTATTATAATAATAAAAAACTCATAACTGTAAGTGATATAAGCACAATCACAAAAATTGCCCAGAACAGTTTATATTTAAATGTATGTTGTTTTATTAAATAGGAAGAACGAAAAATACCTAACACAGATCAATGAGTTTTTATCATATATTGACAATATTTTAGAAAGGAAAGACTTTCAGCTAAAAAAACAAACAAAATTTTGCAACAAATGATAATTCTCATCTGGTGACTTATCTTTCATATAATAAATCATCATAAATATTTAGCTCTTGCTGTAGGTGACAAACTGGTTACCAAAAGTCAAGGATTTCATATACATGTAAAGTGGATAATGATTATTCTTAAATAACTTGTATTGTTCAGCTAATGTTTGATACATATATTGCAAAATGTTCAGATTTCTCTCATTAAAAAGCCCAAATGAGAAAACACTTCTCAAAATTTTACAAGTTTTAGGTATTTAATCATTTAGCTTTGATTTATATCACTATTTTTAAAAATAATTTTATACATAAATAATTTTGTATATTTTTAAATATTATATTATATTACAGTATATATATATATA